CTAGTAGGTTCACTAGCTTCTGGGGAAATTGGCCCTGGTGTGTGTGTCTGTGTGTGCTCCGCTATGGACTGGTTCCTTTCCAGGGTGTATCCTGCCTTGCACTCCTTGCTTGCAGGGATAACCTTTGGCTCTCTCGCCACCCTGAATCATATCAAGTGGATAGAAAATGAATGGATGAATGTCCCCCTGTAGATTGCTTCCAACTTCATATAATCATTTCATTAAAGCAAAAATCAAATCTTCAAGCAGTAGGTGCTACAAGTTCTAAAATGTTTTTTTAAAACCCTAAAGAAGCTACAGCTAAATGTTGAGCTTAATTTTGCAGATTGGGTATGGTAACACATTATCATAATCACACAGCAATTCCAGACGTACGCAGTGCTGTGAGGAAAGGCTGAAAATGATGACAGTGCTGTAGGCCTGATGTTATAGCTGCAAAAGGCTGCGTTGTACAGAGGACAGGACAGGTGACAAGAAGCCTGTGAGAGCATGTTTTAGCCTGGAGATAATTCCAGCTACGTAATGGATAGCACAGGGTAAACGGAAGGTACTATTAATTCATTTTTACAAATCCCTAAATATGGGTGGAGTTAGAAGTTAAGAAAACATCGAATCAGGTGTTTCCAAGGGGCAGCACCTTGTTTGGAGGAACAGTGAAAGGACAGGCCTGCATGATTAGCCCATGTCTGCTGAAGTTAAGGAGGAATATCTTCCTTACCTTGATATTCATTCTCAAGTGTCAGAACCTGTGATTCCTTATTTGCCCATAGCCTTGAGACAGAAATGCACTTATTCAAATGCCAATGCAGGTGAGACTTTTTTCTGTCAGCCCTATCATTTGAATTAAAATTAAAGCTATTTGAAGGAGTACTGGGAAAATACAGTTTTATTTTCTGTTTCAATGTACATGCTGGACATTAATTTGTGTTAGATTTATTTGTGTTATTCATTCTAGGCAGCAAAATGTACTTAAGATACTGTATGTAAATATATGTGAAGTGGATGTTAGAATAAGTATCTGCAGCATAAGAGGGACAGAGATAAACTCACTATCAGTTGAAAGGCTCTTTTTGACTTAAGCTGATGTGAATGCTGTGTCTGGTATTTCCTGTTTGCGCTCTAGAACATGGCCTTTGAACCTTGTAATAAGGCACTCCCTGAAAACCCAGTTCTATCTGCTGAAGCCAGTGTAACAAAAAAAAAAACCAGTTCCCCTTTTCTTAAGGGCTTTAAAAATTTTTTTTTTTTATTTTTAAAATTAAGAGGAAGCAGAAGAGATCCAACATCCCCCTGTGCCTCCACCCCTGCCCCGCCTCAGTCCTTCCACATAGAGTTGGGTGTGACGTAAAGTCTAATTTCAAGAGAAGGAGACTGGAAATGTCCTCTCAGGCTGGCAAACAGAAGAGGGGGTTTAAGGTTTGATACACAGGTTTGAGAGGGGTATACGTGTGATAACTGGGCAGGCAAACAGAAAAATCGGTCTCTGTGGGATCAGCTGTTGTAGAGCCTCAAACTGTTCAGAGAGGAACAGGAAATAGAGTATCGGCACCCTTTGAGTGTAAGCAGATACATTCTAATTAGCTAAGTTTGTTAAGTTGTCTTTGTTAAGACAATGAGTCTTTCAAAGGGAAGACTACTGCTTTTGTTCAGGAAGCACAGTGATCATAGAAGAGTAGCTTCATTTTGGTACTGTGAGAACAAATAAAGGTTTATTCCATGCTGAAAAGAAAAGAAAAGCAACCCACAATGTCGGATGTGGAGTCTTCCTCAGGTGTTGACGCAGCTACCTACCTGAGCTGTTTTGGTAGCATGTTCATTTGAGAACCGCAGTGGCACAAATATTCGGATCATTTGCCAATTCTGCCTTGATACCGATTATGTTAGCAATCTCATGTATTACAGTAGGCGTGAGTTTGGTAAAAATGGAGGACAGTAAAGCAATATTTTGTCCGGTGCCCCTATCCAGATGAAAGGTCTTAAAATAACTTTTGTGATGACTGCAGCTGAAGCAGAAGTATCAGAATTTGAATTTTCACTACTTCCAGGGTGATTCAAGACTGTCTTTGTTCTCTGCATCTAGAAACACAACTTCTGAATCTACAGTTAAGAGTGACAGGCAGAAACACGAACACGAGGACCTGATTCTCTTTTAATTTGATACTGAAATGAACACAGAGTTTATGGACTGGGGCAAATTAGCAGAAGCAATTACTTTTGGCCATTTTTGAAAACATGGTGGTTTGAAAGTCTAAGCATCATTTTAAAAAATCAACTGGATAAATATAGATTCTTGGCGGTTTGCAAATTTGGCATAGTGAGCACAGTTTTGCATAACTCTAGAGAGGAGAAAAGGGCTTCTAATATATATGACTCAATCTAAATTGGTTTGGAATGTTCTGTGCTGTTGAGCAAATTCTGTTTGTCGTCATGGCTGGTTTCATGTTCAGGTTTGTACAAATTACAGGAGAAACGTTTTTAAAGTATCGTGAATTTCCTAAAGCCAGATGTCACATTTCCCGAGCCCTTGATGACTGATATTGTGGATTTCTCCAGCCTTGTTTATAACAGATTTGTTGGTACAGGTAGTCACTTTTATTTTTTGTCCATTTGAAGAAGTCTGATTTTATGTTAGATCAGACTGTGTGTTTTTCAATGTTGCTTTTTATTGTCTAGAAACACTAGCCAATAATGTCAGTGTTTCCTCCGAGTCAGTTTTCCGAGAGTTCTTGTTGTCTTTTACTGTTGTTTTAACCTCTTTATAAAAAGATTTACCTGTCAAGATGATGCCTTTAGCCAAAAATCTCTCAGAAGGTTTGTTTTTTCAACTGAAATGCCTGTCTCGTTAAATGAACTGTCTGTTAGGAATTAAAATATGATTATCATGTAGTGGTTTTATTAAAACGCTCCACATTGGGTAGGCTTTTACCAGAGAAAAGTCTCTGTGAAAGTTATTAGTGATTGTTATTGACTTTTTGGTTACAGCTCTAATGTTGACGCAGAGGAGAAAAGCACCAGCGGGCAACACATTGTGCCAGCGTTTCAATTGTCTGCACGCCATGGCTTGTATTTGCTTAACAGTTTCAAAAGATTGTTGACATTTGGAACAGTGCACTAGGAGCCACAATGGGTGGGTCAGCCTTCGCTGGAGAGCTGGGGAAGAGAAAGCTAGAGAGAGAGGGAGAGAGGAAGCACACTATGGGTCACTGTTGCAAGCAGGCCTCAAGGGCATTATCGCTGTATTGTTTCACATGCTCAAGTCAGCTCTAAAAGGCTGTTGAGGGAGGGTAGATGTGTAGGGGCACATTCCTGCTACTGTAACTGGGAAAAAAAAAATCGTCCCGCCTCTGCCTTTTTTCTTAACTTCGAGTGCCAGAATTAGAATTAGGCACTGGAAGGCTACAATTAAAACAAGATCACCAGTCTTCATTTCGTTTCAAGTGCCGCTGAGGGTCTACTGTATAATTCAGTTTGATTTCTGGGCTCAATTTAAAATAGCTCGTTGGGAAGTTCCTAGAGCTGTTGCTCACTTTAAAAAAAAAAAACAACAATCTATTTTATTTCTGCTCTTTCTGAGCTCAGGAAATGAGTCATTCAGCCTAGACCCCATTTCAAAAATCATAATATTAAGGCAGCAAAGACAGAAGGAGGTAAGTGTATTTTTGACATCTTTTGACATTGAGAGGGAGGAATGTATGAAGTGAGGGACGTAATTTGGGCTAAAGATTATTTTCCAAGATAACAGCTCTGTACACAATAGGGAAATTCATGCACATCTTGCTTGGACTGTTAATATTACAGTCACAGTTTTGTCTTTGTATTTAAAATTGTTTTAGTTAAATAATGTCCAGTATACTGTGTGCAGAGTTGCTTAAGAGCTTGTGTGCCTTCTTCAGAAAAACCACCATGGTGGTGAAAACAGGATAGGTAGTTTTGTGTACACTAGTATAAGTATCCTTTTTCCGATTTTGTGGGCAGGGGATTGCACAAATGCCTGCAGCTGACTTTGCGAATGTGATGAAAGTGTGAGTGTTCCCAACGTGGAAGTTTTTGAAGCCAGTGCAAATCTATTTCAAATGAACTGCTGACATCGTTCAGTGCTGTTTTGAAATGTGCTAGGACGCGTGCTGTAGATTGCGAAGTGTGATCCCTGCGAAAAGTGAAGGAAGATTAATTGCAATAACTGGGATTCATGGTATGAAATTAGGCGAGTGAATAATGTAATCGGAAATGGTTACAGGACACTGCTGAAGGGCAGCTGAAACACTTTAATTTCCTTTCTTTAAGCAGTTAATTTCATTCTAAAGAGGCGAGACAAGTTTGGAGTGTTCAATTTTGCAAGTGGGCCTCCTCCCAAGGGTGAGCCTGAGATTACACAGTTTTTTCTGCTTTTACTAGTGCGCCGCTCTGTACCACATTTTCTGTTGTTTCATTTCCAACATGACACATTGCAGACTGCTCCTGGAAAATACATGTATGTAGCTAGAAAGGTAAGGTGCTTGCAAGGGTGCCTGTTTATAGTGGTGTGGAGTGGCTATCTGAAGTAAATAATTGCCAGTAAACAATTGCTCAGGTACTAATATATGTTTATGTGACCTGTGACCATGTATTAAAGAAAATTTGGGATATCTGTATCCTTAACAGTTAGAGAGAAGCCTGCATTCCACAGTGTACTACAATACAGAAGTGCAGTTACAGTTCTTTTTTCAGCTGCTTAGGCTTTCAAAAGTGACTGGGGTGCCCCAGTTACTGAGACAGATAATTGCAGGTCTCACGTTTTTTTAAACCCATCTAGTTGAAAGAGTTGGACTTTCCACTCTGACAATGAAATGAATGCATAGGGGTCCTTGTTATACTTGTCCTCATTGCTGTGTATTATTCAGTGCTTAACTTTCTGTAAAGTTGTAGTCACAGCATCATGCATGCCTATGTATATTATTATGAGGATATGTGAATGGATCAGTGCTTAGTGTTAGCTCACTTATTTTCTTTCTGTCTTCCAGGGAAACTCCTCAGAGATGGCAGCCAGCTCCCGGGACCAAAGCAGCCATGCTAGTGAAGGTCAACAGCATGGGCAGGAACCAGCCTACGGGTCCCATTGACACGCCACAGAACCACCACCACAACAACACCCATCCGGCGAACTCTGCAGCCAGGAAACCGGCTGGGGGTTTCGTTTACCCAGCTGACAAAACCCCTGTCCCGGGAAAGATGGCGGTGCCTGTAGACTCCAAGCAGGCCCTTCACCTTAAAAAAACTGACAATGGAAGCTTCTGTTTGGTCACGCCCGTCAATGGGTCATCTAGCTCGGTCTACCAGACACCCCACAGGTCGCAGGCTGGGACTCCTAGGCCGGTGTCACCCCAATATGCCGCCACACCGCCCATTTACGATGAGCCCCCACTGGAGTCTCCCATTTACGACGAGCCCCCTGTAGAGATGGAGGTGGAGGGGGCGCCCCTCAACAACGGGCCTTCCCCTCCTCACTTCAGCCCTACACACAGCCTGCAGAAGCAGGGGCAGCTGCAGCACCCTCACCAGCAAACCAAGCTTCTGCAGTACCCAGCCACGCACCTGGGCTCCAAGCACAAGAGGAGCCCCTCGGCCACGGAGTACAGCCCTGCTGGGAGAGAGTGCATCAGGCACATGGTCAACGTAGACTCGGGCTCCTCCTCCAAGCCGGCTGGGCCGCCGCTCTCTTCCACGCCCCACACGGGCTCCTCTGAGCGTCCCTCGGGCAAGCAGAAAGAGGGCTCGGGGGAGAAGAAGCAGTCCTGGAGGATCTTGGAGGCCAATGTCCTGAAGAGCATCGAAGCGCGGCACAGCCGGCAGAACAGCCTGGCGTCGCAGGAGTACCCCACTGCAGCAACGGTGAACTACCAGGACTCCGGCTACTCCACCGGCCCCTCGCCCAGCCTGAGGAGGAAGAACCGCCGGAGGCAGATGGCCGGACAGGGGAGGCCGGGCTCGGTGGGCAGCAGCGGGGAGCTCAACGCCCTCAACGAGAAGCTGATGGCAGAGATGAGGGCGGTGGTGGGCAGGTCCAGCACCCTGCGGGGTAGCAAGGTCAGCCTGGACACAGAAATGTCCGAGAACTCCATTCCCCGGGCCCGCTCCCCACTGGACTCCCTCAAGAAATATTCAGGGCGCAACGGCTCCCGGGAGGACGTGACGGCCAGCAATCGCTCCCTGTACCGGACTGGGCTGGATGCGCGGGGCAGTGCCCAGGGCGACACCCCTCTCTCGCCGCTCGCCCTCGAGGGCCTGGGCCGCCAGAAACGGACTTACGAGAAGGTGGACTCCCTGGAGAAGAGTGTCACCAGTCAGATCAGCCTGTCCTCCCCGGAGCCCCCCAGGTCGCCATCACAGGTACAGTGGCAGATTCTTAGTTTGTGAGCCCCAGCCATGGCAACACTCTTTTGAAGAAGATAGAGAGATAGAAAACTGTTAAAATGTCATGACTTGGCCCATCACAAGTATTTCGGGTTGTATATGTAGTTCAAGTAGGTAGCTGCGTCAGCATGCGTAGGCTGCAAAGGAACACCAAAACGCCCCCTAGAAAAGTCGTCTCCTGTCTGTTTTTTTTTGCAAACAGAGAGCAGTTTGCAGTCCTGCGGCCAAAACCATGCCGTTCTATTCCAGGAGAAATCGAGTGGTTTGCTCAAGTTTGAATGTTCAGCGCGTCATTCGTTTTGTGTCATAAAAAAAACCAAGCTGAATTATGCAATGTTACTATAGATCAGTGTTACCTTAACTCCTTCCATTGCTAACAGCTGTCTGAAAGTTGGATGCTGCCTTTTGTACGTTTAGTGTATTTTTTTTATTTAAGTGGTTATTTTAGCCCAGGGAGTTGTTTTTGTCTGAGGTTTGTATCATACACCGCATCCACCCCCATAATTGGGAGGCCAATCCTGAAAAGGGATTTAAAATACATCGCAAAAGCAAGTCATCGTGCCTGATTATATGTTTGTGGTACACAGGAAAATAAACATTAAACGAGAAGGAGCTTTGTTGGGGTTGAATGGCACACACATGAGGTGTTGTCTGGTGTTCCAGATGCAGTGCGCTGCCTAATTATTTTCGAGACAATGTGGGTTAAACACAGCACCCCAAGATGATGAGAATAGGATTTTTGTTTTACAAACTCTTTTTCTCATATTTGGGTGGAATCAAAAATGTGGGGATTTCAGCTGGACTTGTGTGGTTTTGGAGATCCCTTTTTTGATGCAGTCTTTTATCAAGAGCGCATTAAAGGACAAAATAGCAGAGAGAAAGCTCTATATTTGTTGGCACACCAAGTAGAGCCCTTGCGATTTAAGCGGAGGTGAGTAACCGTCTTTAAACTCTGCTTTTACCTCGTCCAGGAGGTTAAAATGACCGCATATCTCTCTTGTCATGTGTGCCCTGAAGTTGCCCCACAGACAGATATTTGGGAGTGTGTGTTTAATGGATATATTTGATTCTCCTTTCCTCCTCCAGAAAACTACTTTATCAGGAAAGTGAAGAGTGGGCATAAAATATTTTAAATATATTTTTTAATTAGGGCAGTTGGTGGTTTTATATGACATTTTCTCCCTTGGCAGCTAGATAACAACTTTCTTTAGCATAATTATTTTTTTCTGACACTTGTTCTAAATAAGGGTTTGTATGGAAATCATAAGAAATCTCTTCATATTCTGCTTTTAATTACCAACCTTTGTTTGTCATGAAGGAGTAAGCATAATCTTTTATTTGTTTAATGCATTAGGGTTTTTTAAAGATCCAGAAATTAATTGACAATAGGAATCTGGCTTAGTCTGGTTTGATGAAAGTGTCCTCTGTTCAGTTGCAGTATGTAATCAGCTAACATGGCTGTATCTGTACATTCTCCATTCCTCTCGGTATCTGCTTCTCAGGTCTGACTAGTACACATGGTTCTAAAATCAGTGATTTTGCAAATCTTTCCACTGCAACTCAGAAAACAAGTCAAAGCAGTGCACACCATGAGTAATGAATCATGATAACCTGATTTAGACAAACAGCAGAAACATAACAGCAGCTTGTGGAAAATGCATGAATTTTAATGTTGCCTTGTGGTAGCACAAATATTCCCCTTTATAGATAACATACGGTTATAGTGAAATTTTTACAGATGTGGCGGTAAGGATCATAATTTAAGCTTCGCCACACACAGACTGGAAGTATGTCAAGACGTATTTCACAGTCTGTCCTTCGTAGGTTTCTAAGTAACTTTGTAGAACTGTTTCTGAAATGGAACTACTCTGGATTTTAGACTTGTTTTCCTCTCTATCTCATTTTACATTAGTGATAGCTGGGAAATGGTCAGCTTTTGTGCTGCAACAATTAGAATTAATAATTAGTTACAGCACTTAGCAAGACAGTTTTGATGCACTCGTGCCACTGAATGGCAGGGAAATCTCTCTGAGAACATTAGAAAACCACAAGTGATTTTTCTGAAGCAGGTAAATTCATAATATAAAAGGAATTACACATATCTTCTGACAGCACTGAAGAAACAATTGAGATGCAGGAATAGCAGGTGATGAAAATCAGCACTGTGTGTTTTGTCTTTTGACTCATGCTTGAATGATAAGTGCTGTCGGCTAGCATGTGCTTTTTTAAGCAATGTTAGGAAATTCATGTTCGCTATGTGGTATTTGAGGAAGCCTGCAAAATCTCACACAGCATTCCACAATCATTCCCAATCCCAATGGGAAGTGAAGCTGCCCTCCTAAAGATTGGCCCAAATGTGTATGAGGAAGCCCGTCAAGGCCCACTTACCTGTCTGCAATCTGGGCAGCAGCCGGTGCCAGCATACAGCAGTATTCCAGAACTGCATGCCCACTGTTCAGGAAAGCAGAAGCTGAGATCCATATGGTTAAAGCTATGCAGGGATTTTTTTTCACAGAAAAATATGCATTAGTCACAGCATGTTGCTGTTCTTCTTCTTCCAGTTATTATCAGTTTATCTAATGTTTTCATCCAAGGCGACTCACAATGCACTCAGAACAATTACATTTGACAAACTACGTAATGTATACTAAGGTGCATGAAAAACTTAAAATGTCATTGGATCCAGTTCTCATATGTTGTATTTTTAATGTCTCTCAGCATATGCAGTGTAGAGTGACATAAGCAAGTTAGGAATTCAGACAATACCAAGTGCAGCAAATACAGGGATGATTCATAGGATCTAAAGTTATATCTTTAGCAGGTGGGTTTTGGAGGTGCAGGAAGCTGATGAGGTGCTTTTTACTGAAAAAGAAACAGTATTTACATGTGACCCTGTGCGTTAAAGAGAATATAGTGTGAAACTCCAGAAAGGTTCAATTTTTAAACTTTTTTTGTATCATGTTGATCAACAAGAAATCAGTGTTTACAGGACTGCTCACAGTATACACAAGGAAGATATAGCCTTCTCTCTCTGCAGATTAACTGCTAACACTACGAAAGCACAGCTCATTAGTTCAAAGTTCATGCTGTTGTAAAGAAAAGTATTTACCAATGCTTCGGAAAAGAATTGCTGTGTCATAGTATTCTTATCTTGCTGCATATTTTCTGAACATGTGTAAACTGGGTTGGGGTAACATGAGTATTTTGAAGTAGACAATGGCTTGTTATTGTTTGAAGGACAAGCTGGAGCTGATAGTTCTTGACCTCCCTTCTATTGTCAGGACTCCTGCTGAAGATTGCTATTATAGAGCACTTTTAGAAATATTACCCTAAGAAAAAGTCCTTAACGTTTCTCCTTTAAAAACCGTGTAGTGTGTCTGTATTTTTGTTTTGTGTTGTTTTCCCACTTTTAGAGTGTTCGATAAGTATTTATAGCATGCTAAGTCTTGTCCTAGCTGTTTTTGCTGATCGTAGAGGCTGAATACGATTCAGTCAGGGTTCCTAATATTTTGTCCAATGAGTGGATTATGAAGATAAAACAGATGACAAAGACAACATGTGTCCTTTAAGGAATCTACTTTATTAAGTTTCCTTGATCACCACAGTAGCAGCAGCAGTCATACAAGCAATGACATAGTTTTTTTGTGCAGAATAAGCTCCAGTTGGTGTGTGTGGTTGTTTTAGCTATGGACTGGTGGTTGAAGGCTTTGGATAGACATATTTGGACGTTCTCTTCAGTTTCTGTCTAAAAAACCACTGACTAAGCCAATCCAGCAGCAATTCATTGTATAGGCTAGAGACTGCAGCTAAGTGAAGCAGCAGTTGAGGTTGGACATTAGAGATTGCTGCTATGTGCTGTTCTGTATGCTGATGCTGTCTGCTTCAATTAATGCTTCCAGGCCGGAACGCTGGAATCCAAAGAAAATTTCGGAAACGGGAAGCAGGGAGGCAGTGGCAGCAGTGGGAGCAGCTACCAGTACCCCTACGCTACGCTGTGCAAGCCGCCAGCCGATGTCAACATGGTGGACTGGGCCAGCAAGAACCTGAACATGCACACACAGGGCATCTTCCGGAGGAGGGTGTCCATCGCCAACATGCTCTCCTGGAACCGGGGGTCCATCAAGAAGCCCATGCTGATCACCAGCGACCGCACGGTGAAGAAGGAGGCCTGCGAGATGTTCAAGCTGGTGCAGGTCTACATGGGGGACCGGCAGGCCCGGCTGGAGCGCCGCCACGTGGCTCTCCTCATCGTCACCAAGTGCTGGAGCATGCAGGGCCTGCGGGACGAGCTCTACATCCAGCTGGTCAGGCAGACCACGGACAACCTGTGCCTGCGCAGCCTGGCTGCTGGGTGGGAGCTCATGGCCATCAGCTTGGCCTTCTTCTCCCCTTCCCCCAAATTCCGCCGCTACCTGGAGGGCTACATCCAGAGGCACCTGGAGCCAGGATACGACAAGAAGGGTAAGTGTCAGGAAGCGCCTGCTTTTCCCTGTTTGATTTCTTCATGTCCTCTAGGTTCACTTGTGTCCAGGCTTCTTTAAGCTTTAATCTATTTGTCATGGAAGTAAACCGGTCAGGATAAGAGGCTGGATAGGGCTTTGGGCTTGCAAGTGGAAACCCAGTGAGTTTCAGATCATGGGTGGCATTGGTCAGATTGCTTCAGCAAGATTCCCAGTGGAATAAATAAGTGTCAATGTAAGTTGCTTTGGATAAAAGTGTCAAACAAATAAATTATTATAACAGTGACTTTACAGAGGACTGATTCAATCTAAGGATTAAAGCCTATAATGATTGATTGACATATATTAACATTGTAAGATAATATATATATTTAAAAGTGTACAGGTTGCATACAAAATGAAAATGTTTCTGCCTGTGTCTAGGCACTACATCTGTACATTTAAATAGAATGAACTCATACTAACATTGCAGGGGGCTAGAAGGGCCTCCTTTTTTTATTCTTAGGTTCTAAATGTCGGAAATACAAACTAGTGACAGACTGGTGTCTAAATAACAAAATTATAATAACACCCTCTGGCAGAAATGTCTCAGCTGCTCCTTTCAGGCGGCAGACAGTGGGCAGTGAAATGTCAACCATGCCACAACGGTGACTTTAGGAACACACTTGTGTTTTTTTTTTCCACCAACAGCAATACAGAAATAATACTGCGTTTGTTTTTTATTTTTGTTTAATCATATCCAAACCAAATAGGATGCAGCATTTCAGCTTTGGGAACCCCCCCCCCATAAAACTAGAATGTGAATGTCTGATGACCCTGGAGCAATATAACATTTTTATCTCAGAAATGCCAGTATGTTTTAAAAATGTTGTTTCTTTGAGTTAATTAAACTCAAAGAAACAAGCATATGGTATCTTTCTTCAATAATTATTTCTTTGTGCTTCGTATGGTATCTAGTTACCCAACACATAACGGAGCAGCTGGAAATGAAAAACAAGAAGAACTCCAAGTCCAGAAAAAAGAGGAAACAGAACACAGAAGAAGAAGAAGGTGAGTGAGTTTCGGTTCTTTCGCTGTGTTGGAGAAATAAAGGAAGCTTTTCTGGGACAGCTTGACTCCTGGATCTTTCTGGCACATTGAGAACAGTAGCGAGACACAACTTCAGCAACTTCCTGTTTTGGAGAGTGGCATGTCCTGCCAGTCAAAACAAAATAATGTCTTTGCCGGTGTCACAGCTTCACAAAGGAAACATTCTTGTGGTCACCTTTGCCGGAGGAGAAGTGGATGGTTTCATGCGTACCTGTTGTCAAAGAGTGTGCTGCCCAACCCTTGTTTTAAAAACTGTACAGAGTTAAAATTATCTACAGAATGCAGTCAAGTACTGTCCCAACTCTCCTTGCAACCATGGAAACATCTCAAATGCGTAAGGTGTGGCAGAAGATGGAAATCCAGCCTCCCAGGAAGTCCCCCTACTTCAGTTGAGTTTATTTCTGACCTGTGTTGGCTTTGGCCATGTCTGCATACTAGTTACTGCCAATTACAGTGTTTAGTCTTATTAAGGTTGCATAGTTTCAGTTGAAAGTCAGTCTCAGTGCTGGAAGATGGGAGTCCTGGGACACTACCTCTAAAGTTTTCTTTTGCTACGTTTATATTCCATCATTATCACAGCTGTATAATATACGAGATGGGTTAGCTCAGGCAGGCGAAAAGCGATTAGTATGTGCTTGTATTAATAGCCTCACCCTGGCTCTTTCCTGAAACCAGGATGAATCAATTGATGTATTCACTGAACTCCAGCTACGGTCAAACCGTTGATTTTTTTAAGGGAAACCAAAGCAGTCGAGCTGAAAGCTTCAGAAATGAACAGGTTTGCCTTTACAGGTTTTTGGCGGCTCCTGAGGTACACATATTAAAGTTGTGATTAGTGCCTGTGGGTAGATCCCCACAGCCTGCAGTACCTGAGGTGGAGAAAGAGAGAATGATGTGGCATTAAGCAGGATGTACTTTTAATGCCACATTGTTGCCCTGGTTAAATATGGCTCAGAAGTGTATGGTGAAGCATGCAAGTCTCAAAGTACCATTTGTGTTGTATTAGTGCTTTCATTCAGTGGAGATGCATAATAAGTGCTTTCAAGCTCATAGTAAAAGCTGTAAAACGATAATTGTCCGATTTCAATAGACATGAATATTAATTAGCCCATCAGCTGTGCAGTGTTCCCATTCACAGGCCTCTCACACTTCAATATGCTTGTAGAGGATCTAGCTACTAAAAACTAAGAGGCGTAGGTTTCCTTTGATGTCAGTTTTGAATGGCTTGTAAAAATATATTTTTTTCTTGGAGCACATGCTTGTTGGTGACATCTTGACATTATAAAAGGTCTCAAAATGTTTGATTGCTGTGTAAATACAGTGTGAGACCAGGATCTCGGCCCTTTTCTTAAGGATGTCTATACAGGGAAGGATAAACTTTTCTGAACTAAGCTACGAAGCTGAAAAATAAGTTAATAAATACACCCAGATTCCTATGGTGGAAAAACTATTTTGGTAACAGACCATTATGACCTGTTTCTTAAATTAATATAATCATTTCAGTTTTGGCTTGTTTAACCTTCAGGCTGTCAGTCATGGAAAAAGACCGGTTCGGGCTCTGGCCTTGTAATTGGAAGGTTGTGGGTTCAAATCATGGGTGGGGCTCGGCCCAGCTACTTTTGAGTAAAGTATTTGTTGAGGGAAATACCCAGCTATATAAATGCGAACAAAACGTGAGTTACTTTAGGTACAAACAAATTAATATTTATTTTAGAACAACTATGTGCTTTACGTGGTTGCCACACTATTGTCTCCTGTATTCTTGGCCCCCTTTTCTCCCTGTAATATCGGACAGATTTATTTTGTCTTTGGGACTTGCCAATGCCCTGATGTGTCCACTTTCGTGACGCTCTCTCATGTCAGCGGATGACTCACTGCCACTTCCTGTGCTCCGGGGCCTTAAACTCAACCACCAGCCTTGCTGTGGCCAGGCTCCACTCACCCCCAGCTTTATTTAGCCTGCCTTGCTGCCATCCAAAACACTCAAGAGGATCACTGTGGTCAACCGACTTAAAGCTCTTGGAGACCCGCAGTAGCTTACACATGATGTGTCAATGACCGCATCAGGGAGCGAATCTGCTAGTGAAATCTGAGCATTGTTCAATGAATGCCACCGATACACCGAGCTCCCGAGAAGAGCTTCTGACTCATAGAGAGTCGTCAATGGTCACAGCATGAAACATATTAAGAAATACAGTAAACTAGTAATAGATTTCTCCCACAGGGCAGGACTGTTGTCTGAGCAGCAGAGAGGCAGTGACATTATCGCGTTTTGTGTCATTCTCATTAATGGCCCAGTGCAGTGACACCCAAGCTGTTTGGGAAACAAAAAGCAAAGCTGCCAGAAGCTAATGCTAAAAAAAGATGACTGCTTCTTACTTTTTACTACCAGTTAAAGTACTGGTACCACAGCAACTAGTTAGTTATTAAAATATCACCCTAATCTGCTGTGGGCTATAATTCATTCTGTTTTACTGTTTGTAAGTGAAGTTACAAAAACAAGCTAAAAAAACACGATGTGAAGTTTTCTTATTCAATTTACAGAATTTCAAAGGAGGGTTTTTGGGGTGGACATTAGTATAGGGGGTGGCAGTGATTACCCCTGCCCTTGTGTCCTAGTAAAAAGAGAAGATGCCAAAGAGATGAGGGGTTTTGTGCACATGCCTGCTTGAGGCTTTCGGCCTAGCCTGTGCTAAAAGAAAGCTATCTTTTTGTCTAAAGAGCCCTCAATGCCACATCTAAAGTGTGCTGTTGACAATAGCCTGGCTGCAGCTCTTGGGCAGGCCGATACAGTGTGGGTAGAGGGGTATTGTGGTGGCAGGGTTTATTGGCTTGGGAAAAACATTCCCTCAGTGAGTTCCCGGCCGGGCTGTGCGGAGTGGCGTCTTTGTGCTCAGAGAGCTGTCGGGGATTAACCCCAGCCGTTACGACACCCCACATTTGTATGCAAATTTAGGGGGAAGACTGCTTGCAAACTGTTTTTTTATCTCATTAGGCACATCAGTAAGATGGGTCTGTTACTGAGGGGGGCTGGGGGTGGAGTGTTGCAATTGCATTCAGCGTTTCTAAAAAGCAGTTGAAAGTAAATTGTTGTAGGTCTTTTAGTACCCACTTTCTTGAATACCTCCCTTCCCCCCACATCCATTTATAATTCTATTTTTGTTTTGGGTTGTTGTGACATTCTGCGGGGAATTACACCCACACTGCACAACTTGCCATTCAGCGGCAAAATCCTATTGTCACACTTTCGATTTTGTATCTGAAATGAGAATTTGCCACCGCAGGGCTGGATGTTTTTCTTATGTCAGGCATCAGGCAAATACCTCCTAACCACATAGCTGCGTATAAAGAAAATGTTCCCATTTAGAAACTATGAAGTCATGACTTAATACAGAGCAGGTTGTTTCCAAAACTCAGTCCGGCCCCTGAACTCGTATGCCTAAAAGTCTTCCCCAGAATGAGCTGGGTCCTCCAGCTTTTAGACACTATTGCAGTCATTCCTATTTTTATTTCCCCCTCTAATCCAGTCTGCTTATCTCTGCATGGAGGAATTAATTATGAGATATCCTCCATCTTTAAGTGTTTAGCAGGAGTGCGACATGAAGAAACATCTGCGAACACTTATTAATTTTGATTACAGAAGCTGCCGTCCAGACGCAGGATCTAAATCACCCCCTGACTCAACTCAGTTTGTTCAAGTGCCAGAGCACCTCTCCAGCTTGCGTGTTTCTCATTCCTGGAGAGCAACGTGAGACAGGAGTTTCAAAGACTGCAGCAGAAAAGTACTGCAGTTTGAATTAATGTTCAGTGGTGTTTCTCCCTCATCAAGAGCAGGCAGGCTGAATCACAAGAAAGCCTCCGTGATTTCTGACCCCAGAGTGCTTCCTGTAAATAATGCTTCCTGTGATGTGTTGCTCTTTAGTACCTCCATTTTAAATGGAATCATCAACACTAAATAACACTGTTAAAGGCAAATTATTACAGTAATATGTGAAGTAGCTCCTACTACGGATGACGGAATAACTTTAGGAGATTCTGAAGTTTATGCTAGGATTTTTATGATATCATTAGCTTTTGGCTAATGGGATTGAATGAACTTCATTTTACAAAATGTTTCACAAGGTGAGGTTTATAGTTTTGATTATGAGGAAGAGAACAGTAAATGTGTGTTGCACTTGACCTGCCCTTTCCTTTAAAAAATGATTGAGATAAGAAGAATTCCTGATCTTCTTAAGACACATAAACTCTCTGCTCGTTACCTGTATTCTGTCTTCTCCCACTGATGTTCAGTGTTTAGAGCCCTCATGTCCCACAATACAGTGACAATGGGGCTTCCAAGACTGATTGGAAACGTCCCCTGGTTATTGAATGAAGTAACTGTAGTGTAGAATGTGGGATTTTCACAGCTTTCTGTATATATGGGTGTGTCTTAGTGAGTTTTTGTTGAGTTTGGAAAAGCTGTATGTGAGTGAGTTGGCGGCAAACACTCTGCCCATCAGTTCTTTAAAGTCATATTCTGAAGCTGTTTTTATTTTACACCCTAACAAAGCCTGGAATCTTCCCGTCACTTTGATTTATACTGACATTAGGATTTTATTTAATATGCAAACATCCCTGGTTGGCCTTCCTGTGTAGCAGACTTCCCACAAGGAATCTGTTCTCCATACTTCTGTTGTCCTAAAGTGGTGTTTTACAAGTGTGCCCTGGATGTAAAAATGCCTATAATCAAGACATGCATAGGTGGTGGCAGTGCATTGAAAAGCATCAACACTGGGTTATCAAGCCAGCCCAGGAAAGGCTGGAGCTCTGTTCCAGGCCCGATTGTTTTCCTCGCCCATCCTTCATCCTCTCCCTTGTTCTGAGGGCTCCGAGAGGCGTTGACCATTTGTTAGGCAGCTGTGAGCAGACATAAGGCTCTGGTGTGAACGCACATGTTTACACCTCCACAGCATTCGAGGGCAGCGCTTGCTAAATCTCACAGAGGTGCTAACTAGTGAACTACACTTGGAAAACAAACAGTGAGGGCTGTGGCTGTTGTTCCTTCCCTGTCCTGCTATTGGCTTTTAAAGCGCTTCCACATGGCTGGATTTTTTTAATTCTGAGCTTTTGTTTTGCTCTTTTTCTCCTCTGCCAAATGTTGGTTACTCTTCCGTGTTTTCTTTATTGCGACCCAATGATTGTGTTTATAGCCCTTTCATTTAACATGCTGTTTTCTATTGTGCAAGAGGACACAATAAAATCCTTGCTTTTTACCTGTTTATAACAATAAACAACTTTATTTTATGTAGTGCATTTAAAGGTGGCTTCTCAAAGTGCTTTACAGAACGCCAACAACAATAAAGGAGAGGAGACGGTATTTGGGGGTACTGAATACAGTAGGAGTAGAGGGGTAAATGATAGTTTATGGCATAAATCAGCACTGAGGATTATGTGACTAAATAAGTTGTCACAGAATATATAGAAATTATTCTTCCTTTTATTTGGTTAGGTTTTTCAGTTAATTGCTGTTCGCTAACTTGAATTTTTGTTTTAAAAATGTGTGTTCAGTGTTGGATTATTTTGGCTGTGTAAATATCCTATCTTGCACCTGTTTGCCATAAATCCTGAATTTTTCTAAGGCTGGAGAACTCTAGGGCAGAGACCGTTTCATGCTGTAGGAATTTTTCAAACTAGACCTGATACTAAGAGTTCACAGCTACACACAGAACTGAGATAGAGGGAACAAATGTGGCCTTGAATGTGGATTATTTTAGCACTCTCTTTGCTACAAAACACATTTTACTATCTTAGTATCTCAAGAACATATTGAAATGTCTCTGAATTTCATTTCGACACATTTGAGAATAAATGTGTAGGTTCTCCTCGTGACCTCTTTTTCAAGGATGTCCTTTTGTGATGGGAGAAGCCAAGTAGCATGATAAAAGACAATTTCTCTTTTGTATTTGTTGTGAATGAAAACAAGAAATTTTGCCAAAGTGATTATAGCTGTAATGAATTACTTCAGATGCCTATGTACAAATGCACTGTGTTTGTTTCATAGCAATTGTTTCATCTATTCATAAGATATTTTTCTTGTAGCTGACAGGCTATGCAGTAGTCATACTTAACATTAGATAACTTTTCGTATTTACAGTGACATGATAGTTGCTGGTTTCTGTGGTTTCATGGTGGAGTAGCTTGTGGTAACTTTTCTTTCTTTAACAGGCTTGCCGATCAGCACATATGCGAAATACTGCTACCGTAAACTCCAGAAAGTGGCTGTGACGGGGGGCAAAAAGGTAAGGCAAAATAGCGAAATAATTTAGACGGGTTTCAAATGAGAAATGGTTATTTGGCTTAATCTTCTTCATGAGAATGCTGGTGGCTTGCCCAATCTGGAACCTAACCAAGCCCCTTCTTGTGACTCACCTCACACTGGCTTTCTGTGATTCTTGGCAGCAAGTTTCACAAAAAAATGTACTGCTGTACCTACACCAGGGAAGTAATACCATTCACAGTGCTGGGCATAATTTTCCATGACCATGTGTTCCATGACCATGTGTCCTGGTTTTTAGGTTGGGGTTTAAAGAGGTGGTTTTGATGTGATTTCTTCAGTTGCTTTCTGCCATTTGCAAACACTACGGGATTATGGACCTGAAGCCAGTTGCATTAAAGAGTAGTTTTTCAGTGACCCATTTTGTGCCAGTGATTATATAAAGAGATGGTATTTATTACCTACATATTATTTTAGATCATACCGTCCTAGGTGGGCAAGAAACCTGTGAATCACATTTGCTTCCTAGTAGGAAATCCCGGGATATATGCATTATCAAACGGACTGTATCTGATTGCCTCTGTTTGAGAGGAGAGATAATATACCTTACAAAGTGCCATGAGGGTGGAAACTCGCTCAGGCAAAACAGTAGGTCAGGCATTTCACTTAAAGGGAGCCCATTGCACTAGTCTGCTTCTGGTTAAACAACAAAACAACTTTTTTAAATTAAAAAATGACAACAGGCAATTCAGACTAACCTAGAGTGAAGCATCTTTTCCATCTTGGCAGAACTCCAGGTCTTACAGTGAAAGAGAAACTCACATGACCTGCGTTGTCCTGATATCAGCATTGTGACTTTGTACTTTTCAAATTCTGTGGGTATCCCAGCCAGCTCACCCTGTCCAAACACTAGTCATCATTTTTATGATGAGCGTTTCTGAGCAAAGTCTTGGCTCCCTTAAAGAGGGTGGCCAGTGCCTTGATGGGGAAGTGAAGACAACGTGCATAAGGGAAGGGTTACAGACAAGAGGAGGCAGTTTCTCCTCGGGCATTTAATTGATCTACGAGTCTCCTCTGGCCATTTCATGAAGGATGCTGTGTTCGAGAACCTGGGCAGAGCTCAGCTTGTTGTGCTTCCTGATGAGAGCGGTGGATTCTCCTCTTCTGCACCTTTCAGGGTCTGCGGAAGCCCACCCTGGAAGAGATTGACCACGCCAAGAACGCTGTGGTCACGCCCTCGCTGTTTGGCAGTGCCCTGGAGGAGATCATGGAGCGGCAGCAGGAGCTCTTCCCCGAGAGGAAGCTGCCCTGGGTGCAGGTGCAGCTGTCCCAGCACGTCTTGGGACTGGGGGGCGCCCAGACAGAGGGCATCTTCAGGTGAGACTCCTCTGTGGGGGAACAGTGAGATTGCTGCATTGCACTTCAATGCCAACAGGTGGTAACCAAAAGAACTGCTCAGAACCAAATCTCATGTCAGCCTTTTGATATTCTATTATATAGACTTATTTTTAATATTGGACATCCTTTTTTTGGTTTATTTTTATTGATGTTGTTGTTGTTGACCACTCTAGCACCACACCAATCTGCATTCAGTGGTTGTTTATTTTTTAAAAGTACGCTTTTGGTTAAAAAAAAGGGTTCAGTGCGGGATTTAGGCATCTGGGAGATGGGAACTCCATAGTTTTGGCTGCTCTTTAGCCGTTGTAATCGCTTACCCAAACATGCCCTGATCCTGAAACTGGAAGTTAATCTTCTATCGTTTCGTTTAAACCGGAAAGTGGAAGAATTTCAGATACCCCCTGTTTGTATTTTCTCACTAGGATATTAATTTTGGATCTTTTATTATATTGATTTTGGGTGGAAGCCCACAGTTTCCAGAACTGTAGTCTTCAGCCCTAAAGCACCGCAGAGGGTGGTCTGCAGAACTAGTGTAGATGGAAGTAATGCACTAATCTCCACCTGCTCGATGACTGCATCTGCCTCGCTCATAAATCTAGAGCCGCCTTCTCAACATAGTTTCAACTTTCATATGTAAATAGTCTCTGTCAATTTATTTCCTATTTATACTGTCTTCAAAATGAGCAGTGAATCAAAGACAATAGGACTCAAGTGGAAACAACATGGTACAGCATTTCAAACTGAGAAAAGAAAGTACTACTTCACCCACAGGGTTGTGGGGTGTACGAAACAAGTTATCCAGCCACGTGTTCGAAGCTGATGCCTTGGCTTCTTTGAGTATAGGGCAGGATGAGATCCTTGGATCCATTAGCTTCTAATTACCAAACTGGCCAGATGGACTGAATAGCCTCCTTTCCTTTGTAACTTTTTCTTTGTTCTTACACCTTGGGTTTTGAAGAAGAAACACAACACAAGAGTAACAATAATAACACACAAGCTTCTTAAGGGATTGATTCCTTTGAGTTAATCTCGACATTGGGAGTTTTGTTTGCTTAATATCCTTGATTATTGAGAATCACAATCAAAACCATATGGCTACCACAGGAAATCCAAAATATTATGCTAGTTTCAGTATTGAGACCAACATCTTGCCTCAAAAGGGAAACATAAAGACATTATTTTACTTGAAATGATCCTTGTAAATATTTGCTTTGTTTGACCATGATAAGAGTAAGGTACTATAGTAAAATACAGTGGATTTACTGAAAAGGGTTTGTAAAGGTTGTTAAAAAAAACTCAGTTTAAGTGAGTTTTGTTAAAACTATGGGGAGTAACTGAAATACAGTGCAAGCTTACTGTGTTTCATAAGGGAAACAAAAGTCGTTGCTAGGTATTGCAGACATTTTGAAGGGCAACATTATTCCAGGTGGAGCAGTCACAGAAAGAAAATGGGATAACCCATTTCCTAATGGTGTTCCATATTCAAAGTACATCACTCCCAGGCGTTTCCTGAGACATGGTTATTTATAGCTTCTTTACATTCGGAGCTGAAGGCCATACGGATATAATGTATGTTTTCCGGGACGTGAAAGCCCACACAGTCGGGAATCACACAGAACAGGCATTTTGTTGAGTCAGACCTTCCTCTTCCCCTGCTTCTGCAAAACACGTTAATAAGAAGGACCGAAGAAAGGTCACACGAGTAGGCCATTTAGGTCTTCAGGCCCGTTGGATAGTTAGCGGTTAATTGATTAGCTTAATTCATTAATTTCTTGGGAAACATAAATTCTTGAATCACGTCAGAGTATCAGCTTCAACAATGTGGCTGGGCAGCTTGTTCTACACTTCCACATTCCTTTGGTTAAAGAAGTGCCTCCTATTCTCAGTTTCAAGTGCACTTCTATGTAGTGTAGTTCCACTCACTTGTGCCCTCTGGTTAATGTTTCGGTGTTCATTCTGAAGAGAGCCGCCACCCTGACTTTGTTAATACCTTTGAGGTTGAAAACTTGTATCAGATCCCCTTGTAGACATCCCTGTTCAAGACTAAAAAGGTTCAGTCCCTCCAGACTGTCAGCGGAGGACATTCCCATAAGTCTCAGAATGTATTTTTATGCTCTGAACTGATGCCAGAGAAGCAATATCTTTTCTGTAATGTGGCGACCAAAATATTGCAAATGAGGCCTTACCTAGCATAACATCTCTTGATTTAAGTTCTACACTTTTGACTCTATGTTCTAGCATTTTGTTTGCCTTTTTCATTGCTTTCCCACATTGTCTAGAAGAATACACCATAAACACATTCACATAAAAAGTATTTTTAATAAGTAACCTCTTACAGCTCAGTGTTTCCATTTTTTACTGACTACAATCAAAACCCTGCACATACTTACATTAAACATCAGTTCGCATTGAAGTGATGTGCTGCTTTTCTTTTTCCTTAGGATTATGGACTGAGATAATGTGGCGATAACTGGGATAAACTTAGAGCTAATGATAGGGCGTGTTTGTTTTTATTGCAAGTATCCGGCACCAAGTGTGTGCTGTAAGATTGGCAAGAAAATGATATAATGATATAGAGTATAAAGGTTTTATAATTTGCAAGTGAAGAGTCTGTTAGTTGAATGTTTCTCTTTAAACAGCCAATGGTGCTGTTTTTAATAAAAGCTTTCAATGGATTTAAACAGCTGTTTTGATTACAATGTGCATGACAGCAAATTTTAGTCAAGAATCCATGTAACTGATACCTCTTATGCCACATGTAGAATGTCAGAATTGCAATGGTTGTTACCGTGAGAGCAGGAAATACAATGAGCAGCTCAGTCTGGGAAAACCAAGGAAGTTCATACATAACAAGACTTGGTCTGTAAGTGCTTTGAAGGGCTTCAGAGAGCCAGGTGGACACTGATGTGCACGTTGGACGGGAGGAAAAGATAAAATGCTGTCTGCCATCTGGTGGGAAGATTATGTAATTACATCACATGTAAGGAAGTGCTGGCCTCTACTTCTTGAACAATCAACATGCAACAGGTTAGGATTACTGTGGCTGTTAAAGAAGGTTCATCAAATGACACGGAAATCAGACTGAAATTCTGGAGCTCCCTCTTCCGATCTAACCTTTGCCAATGCGGTTTGTTTTTCAGAGTCCCTGGAGATATTGACGAGGTCAACGCACTGAAGCTACAAGTGGATCAGTGGAAAATCCCAGAGAATCTTTCCGATCCCAATGTCCCAGGTACTTCTTTCGGTTTCAGCTGAAGTACGGACTCAGAGCCAAGTAATATACTTGGAATTTGAATTCTAGTTTTTTATATTAGATTACACAGAGATTGAAGCAATAGTTGCAGTTCAATTCTTTATTTGATAACCTTCTGTATTATGAAGACATGTCCATTAAGTTCTTCCTAAGAACTGTGTCCAAGTGTATATTCATTCATCCAACCATTATAAAAGCCATATTGTTGCTTTGAGGATTTTTTATGGACATTTAAGTCTGGTCACCTGTCACCAGATTCTCTTGGTATTTACTTCACTTATTTTTAACTTTATTCTATAGAGCTGCTTTCAAGGAACCTTGAAAACCTTCACAACATGATGTTATAGTAAGAACAAATACAACAGGAACGTTTGGTGCAGCTTTACGGTCTAATGTGATGGAGAGACAAGCAGAGAAAATGTATTTATGCTCATAGGCAGGGGTCCTGTGTGTTGTAGTGCTGTTGTGTTGGATTTGCCCAGCTTGTGATTGTTTTGCCTTGGTTTTCCAGCCTCCCTGCTGAAGCTGTGGTACCGTGAACTGGAGGAACCAGTCATTCCCCAAAGCTTCTACCGACAGTGCATAAGCAACTATGAGGACCCCGAGGCCGCCATTGCTGTGGTGCAGTCCCTGCCCGAGCTCAACCGCCTCGTCCTCTGTTACCTCATCCACTTCCTGCAGGTAACCGTGGCGATGGGACGGGACAGCATGGTCACCCTGGTGACAGCTAGGCCATGGGTTCACTGCCCCATGGAACTGTACATTTCAGAGAAAAAAAGGAAAGTTCATGTTTTGTATAAAGTTTGGGTGTAACCTGGCCACAAAATGAGAATGGCATGGTGGTTTCTCTCTAAAAAGCCTAATTGTTTATTTCTTAGTATAAGATGAGAAGCTTTATTAAAAAAACATGTATGTAGATGCATTTAGACTCATTGTAGAAGAATAATCAATGTGTTTATGTATACAGTGTCAAAGACTGTATTAAATCCAAATAATGATAGATTAGTCATTTGTAGTCCAATGGATTGATTAAATGTTTAGTTTTACAGCATCATGAAGACTACAGCTGACTGAAAGTTGTACATTAAGTCCTGTACAGGAGACATTTTAGTTCATAGTATTTGAAAAGTCTACATCCTTTACCATGTGAGGAGTGACACAGTTACAGATCAGCTAATGATAAAGCCTAGGTCTGAACCAGCAGCTTTTGCCTCAACCTGATTTTTCTACCACTTTTATAGATACAAACCATGATTTAAATGCAGAGCTTTTTAATGCAAATTTGACCCTATTTAAATACCGTTCAACGAAAGCTTTTCCTTTAATCTGTTTGCATATTTCAAGATCAGTAGTGTTCCTTTAGTAGGCTTTTCTAACAGAAGATATTGAAAGCCTTTGTGAACCAACTGAAATGGGGTAACAGTACAGTCAATGATTTTTGTCTAGGGAGGGACTAGTGGGTTATATTTCTAAGCATGGTTTTCACAATAACACTAACTGGATTTGAAGTGGCCTGATTAAAGGCAGTAGACTGATTAAAGCTGGACTACACTTTTCATGTTCTACAGCAAATAAAACAATCTATAAATAAACATTCTTAAATACGCCTAAACAAGAGTGTTTTAAGAAAGAAAAAGTGGTTGCTAACGCCTAGTTCCAGAGTTTCTGAAAGTGCACAGATAAAATTGTTGAAGCCATAGGGAAAGGGTGTGATCCCGAACAGCTGTCTTTGTCTGTTCTCAATATGACCCCCCCCACCCAGAAAAAACCCTGGCCCCCGACCTGAGCTTCTCACACGGCTGGAGTGAACTGTAGACCAGACCTCTTCCTCAATGTGTGAAATAAGCTTTCGGTGCTTTCTTTGGCATGCAAAAACTCTTCATCTCAACATCTTTTTTGGGCAGTCACATTTTTTTTTGTGGGAGACACGGTGGCGCAGTTTTTAGCATTGCTGCTGCCTTGCGGTGCAGGGGCCCTGGGCCCGAATTCATGGGGTGCTGTTTGTGTGGAGTGTTTCCCCCTTGTTCACATGGGTTTCCTCTGGGTACTCTTGATTTCCTCCCACTCTGCATATATATGCTGGTTGGTTAATTGGCTTCTGGGAAAATTGGCCCAGGCATGTGCGTGTGTGTCCTTCGGTAGACTAGTGTCCCATCCAGGATGTATCCCTCCTTGTGTCAGATGGACGGACTTTTCTTTCTTCATTTTGGCCGGCCATTCGTGTTTCTTGAAGCTTTTTTTTAACGTCCCGATGTTCTCCCACCCCCCGCTAGGTGTTTGCACAGCCGGTCAATGTGAGCAAGACCAAGATGGACGTGAACAACCTGGCCATGGTGATGGCCCCCAACTGCCTGCGCTGCCAGTCGGACGACCCGCGGGTCATCTTCGAGAACACCCGCAAGGAGATGTCCTTCCTGCGCGTGCTGATCGTGCACCTGGACACCAGCTTCGTCAAAGGCCTTGTGTGAACGGCCCCCTCTGCCCTCCGCTGCCCTCCTGTCCTGTCTGCCCCTCTCCGGTATCTGTCCCCTCCCTAGACCTGCTCGGTCTCTGCTGTTCCTTTGAGCGGTATTCAGGAATTTCTTGGAAGTGCTTTCGGGACACTTCAAAGATATTTTGTTTTGAAATCCAGATGCAGTAATAAGATGTGTAATCCTTAACAGAACCACCTGCTGTTCGCTATACTCGCTTGATTCGTACCGTTCTGTCTGTACGAAACAAAGGTGTCCCATGATGCATCTCACTGACACACAGCCCGAGGAAGAGACAGATACCGCAGAATGTTAATGTAATATAAGGTTTTCGTTTTTTTTCTCTCGTTTTTATGTTTCTTTTGGGTTCTGCTTTTTTTTAATCTGTGCATAGAAAAAAAAAGAGTGGTTCTCTTCTTCTTTTTAATTTAAAATTTGAAAGGTTTTGTTTTATTTAATTCTGGGCAGTTTGGGCTTGATTGTTCCAGCTGGCTAACACTGGCCCTGAAAAAGTTGTACCAGGATTGTCCCTGCAAAACAGTCAACAGCTCCCTGATCACACTGATCATCATTAGGGTCCCTGATTTCCAGCCTCACTGTTCCAGATTGACCGACCACTTTTTCTGCCTTATTTAAGTTTAAGTCTCTCTGCACACATCAAAGCATACAAACTGCAATCAGAAGAAACTTGTATTCCTCTGCTTCACCTGAACACATCTAAGCAATCTGCATTATTGTGGTTTCAACACAGCTGAGCAGTGTTGTATTGTATTGCACTCTCAGCTCCACATCATAGGAAGCTTTAGACTGGAATTTTATTTTTAATGCGTCACAGGCATTAACCTTGTCCAGAGGCATGATTTGCTTAATTTATTTTTTCAGGAAGATCAAAACATTTTTAGGTTTTAGCAATAGGAATGAAGAATGAAAGCGAAAATGTGAGCTCTGTAATTAAGTGTTAGTTTGTGACACCATGTGACCCAGGATATAGAAGAAATATATCCAGGACAGCAAGGCTGAAGACAGTGGGAAGGGCTTTGTGGGTTTAGTCTCAAGTTCCTGAGTCTGTCATCGCTAGTGCCCTTTGACAGACACTGCTTGCTTCACTGGTTTTTGCTACAGTGTTAACAGTCACGACAGCAGTTCCATTTAAGACATCTTTGCAAGGACATCAGTTTTTTTTTTTACAGTCGTCTAATAGGTCACAGGCTGTTGTCACAAAAAGAGTTGCATTGACGTAATATTGTCGTTACGTTGCGAGCTGAAAGAAGGTAATGTGAGTGGAAGTCATCATTTGTTAAAGTAAGCTTTCAAAATTAGTTTTGGAGAGATGGAAGGCTTTTTTGTGTTTCCAAATATTACTTAAATGTCATATTTGAGTTAACTTGTTGACTGCCAAGCTGGCATCCTTTTTCAAGTAAGCTGCCTTATTTATAGATGCGGTTGGCATTTAGTTGGTAGCTCCTCCTCCTGCTGTGCCAGCAGTGTGGTAAATGGTGAAAGAAAGGCGTCCCCCACTACAGCAGACGTTTTTTTTAATGACCCGCCTGGACTGCAGCTTCATCTATGCTAGAGCTCTTCGCTGTCTTCTTACAGTTAAAACCTGTTTATTTTTTTACAGGCAACAGGATTGAGTCCCACCATAGACCGTATTTGTTCAGTTCCTGGAAACTAAACACAGTTTTGCCCTAGATGAAGTTAAAGGGTTTGTTAAACCAGAAGATCTCTGTGGAGGTTGTTCTTTTGGTCACCCTTTAGAATCACAGCTCTCCCAATGGTCGTCTTACTCTGCCTTTATTTACAGTATAAAAAATGGCCCCTTTGATAGCCACTAAAGCCTTACAGCCTCTTCTCAGTTCCTACACACCTCCTAAAAATAGACATTATTATTAAGTTTTGTTCTCTTTGAATGCTTTAACTCGATGCTCTCCTACAATCCAGGTCATGGAAAAGCTGTAGTTGAAATCTGACTCCTCTTCAAATAAGAAAATTTGACCATAAAATTTGATCATGAAGTCTGGTTATTTGGTTTAGAATTAGTGTACAAGATGAGAACCTTTTTGAAGGAAGATAACTGGATCATTATCCTACATTAAGTTATTTTCCAGAAAATAAAAGTGATTGAGACATCTCTGTTCATAATTTACCCTCCATTTACTGTATTACTGCTTATTCAATGTACTGTATGTGTTTGAGGGCCTTACCTGCTTTTCTGTGGTGGTGTGTGAGCAAGCTTAAGCCTCATTTATTTCATCAGAGATGAATTTATGAAATACAGACACATATGAGACACAGCAGTGTGTTAATTGTCTACTCACAGAGCATTGATTAATACCAGTTAACAATCATTGCACGTGTTAAGACATTGCAAGTCTTTAAAAGGGCTTAACAGTCTTGTGAGTCTTAACATACCTGCAATTAGGACATTTTGATTTCGACTGTGAATTCAAGAAGGTTTTAAAGAGGTTTCCAGAGCCCGAAACAGGCTGAAGAGAACCTACTCATTTCATTGCATTCTGCAATTGAGCTAGCCTACATAAATAAGCTTTTTCCCCCTTTCCCAGTTGATGTGGCTTTGTCTAAAGGACTAGTTTGCTCTCATAGGACTGTAGAATTTTCCCCCTTTTCTTTTACCCTCTGATTGGTGTCTCACATTATGTTAATGTTTAACATTTTAATGTTGTAGAATGAAGGGAAATAGCCTCAACAGCTGGAAGTTGCTCAGACACAACATAAGCACAACGCATTCAATACACATAATTCCTGGAATTCATTTTTTACCTCAACATGTTCACGGCAGGTAAATCAAGATTCATTCATGTAAATACCGTCTGTGAATAGCAATGTCTTAATTACTGTAATTTGAAGTAATGAGGATAAAGATTATTATAGTTTCAGGTGTTAAAAATGCAGAGGAAGCTTTTCTTTTTTGCTGTTGGCTGCCTGTTGTGGAAAACAAACTGATAACCACTCTTCGATGTTTTGTTCATAACGTGTGCTAAGAAGTGAACTGTAATACTTTTAACTGTAATGCCTACAGTTGCCAAGCAACAGGTTGTCATCCCCTCCTCTCCTGCACTTAGCTTTTCATCATTTTTATTTGCTGCTGTTTTCTGTATTCAGATGCTGTTGGCTTTGTCGGTGTAAATGCCTCTGCCGTCCTCAGTACATTCAGTTTGTGTGAAGAGATACAAGTGAGAGACCGTGACAATGTCGGATGCTTTATTTTACCTAATTTCATAAATAAAAAATAAAGTTTGTAAATTTACACAATCTGTGGTGCAGGTTTGTTGTTGTTTTTTTCTGCAGCGTAATTTATGTATTGTGGTAGTATTGTCGGTTCTCAGAAACCAGATGTGTCAGCAGTCATCCAGCCGTCAAACACATGCCCCAGTGAAGAGTAAAAAACAGTTAACTTCTAAATTGGTTCTGTTACGCGGCAGGCTGAACACAAACAATGCACCACATTGAGAACAGACCCTTGCTTTCTGGGGCCATTCTGAAAACACATGCCTTAAGGCAAACGGGGGAAGAGTATTTAAACTCAAAGGCTGCTTGAGATATGTGGCGGATTGAAAATCACATCTGAGAGAGGTGCCTGTGATAATGCTTTGTGAATCCAGTTTTTTTTTTCAGATGGGTGTTAACACTGAAGTTTGGGAATGGGGCTGTTAAAAGAGTATTGCAGGGCTTCTACCACGCTTAGTTACAGCAGTTCCTGCTTGTTTTGAAAAGTGAGCTCAAGTGAAGGTTTTGCCTTTTCTCATCTGCAAACAAACAGCTGGCAGAGAACTGTGGCCGTGCGTGTCAGTGATCTGAAGCCATTTCTGGTTTCAGTTTGTGTTTCATTCTTGAATTGCATAAGTCAAAACCATACGCTTTTTAAGTGATGAAGGTAAGTGTGTACATGACAGAAAGGAAGAGCTCTTCATTTTTTTAGTTTTACTAGATTATAATTCCATCTAATTCTGGTTGTATCTTCTCACCGTGTCTAATATGTGGTAATGTTTGAGGGTCTGAGAAGAAGTATATTGCATTATCATTTTGGGTGGCAAAAGATGCACACGCTTGTCAGCTGTGATAATTCCAAAGAAATCGACATGGACGCCACAAACACATAGCCCATTATCTTCCTTATGACAAGAAACTGAGATGCTGGTTTGAACGGAAAGTTTGCTTCAGTCTCTTTTAAAACTTTTCTTTTGCATCATCTCCTACCCAAATCACACATGGCATTACTACTGTCTGGCTTGTACTCACAACACGTTTGGGGAAAAACGACTCATGCCAGCTGACAAATTCGGAAATTCTGCTTATGCTGCAAACCATGGGATGGGGGAAATCTATATACACACTGCCAGCATTTTCATTTTCTAGTAAATGTAAATTGTTCTGCCTGCAGTGTGGCGAACAATAAATACTTGATATGGCTGCTGGTCAATCATGTGGTTTGCCACAAGGCAGCTTACACTGGAGAATTTTACTGCCCTTTTCCAGTTCGTAAGTAGCGGGCTGATTTTTTTCCAAATACCATTATTAAAATGCACAGACAAAGCACTCGCGCGCGGACATTGGAAGTTTGGAAAATACATTCCATGGAAGCATTCCTCCGTGGGTTTCCTAAAGAGTTTTTTGTACATGACGTAATTGAGTGATGGAAAGAATCATCTACAGGTGAGGGGGGTACAGCCGCCCCAAGTGGAGGAGATGAAGTACTCTTGTTCACAAGACAGGGCAGAGGGGATCACGGGATTGACCAGCGGATGGGTGTAG